TTATCTTTCTACTTATTGTTTCTTTTTTTGTAAGGTTATTAGCTTTGTAATTTTATTTGTCTTTGCTATAACTTTTTATCTTAAACCATTTTATTTGTATGTTCTTTGTTCTAACTAGATCAATTATTTCTACTATTCAAAAAGCATTTTTTTGCTTAAGAAATCTATTTCTATTTATATATTTAACTCTCTACTAATGTTTTTAATTGCAGCATTACTATCTGTAAATATTTTTTTAGTCTTTTTATTTTGGTATTATCAAAATTGCTACTTATATTTCTAATAACTTCACTGTAGTTAATATTGGTTATCCTTTCATTTCTAATGCTATTTTCTCTTCTAACTAATTTTGTGCTTTACTTATCTGCACCTATTCTATATTCATGTTTTTATTTATTGCTTCTTCTTTATTTCATTTATTTGCTGCATTATTTGTATATATTATGTACTTGTTCTTGATTTTTAATATGTTTTTCTTCAAGGTTTTTATTATTTCTTAAGTAACATTCTCTTTTAACTTTTGTTTTTTGACTAGCTTTATTTTTAAATCCTTTAGTATTCTTAGTTCTGTTAGCTTTTATTTATTTATTTTTTTAACTTTTCTGTTTTTGTATACTCTGTTAATTGGTCTGTTATTGTCTTGATTATGTTGTTGATTTTAGCTATTAATGTGTTTGAAATCACTTTTATCTTGTTATTAATTTTTATTTATTGTTGACAGCTGTTTTCTACTGTTTCTTCTTCACTTATACACCTATTGTATTTGCTACTAAATTGCTTTTTATACTTTGCATCTGCTAATGTTCTATTAGTACTTTCTTTTTTTTTTTAATTATTTTTTCTAGTTGTTTGTTATTTTTTATACTATATAAAATCTATTCTTTTTTCTTTCTATTATTTGAGAGACTTTTCTACTTAATTTTTATTGCTTGTATATTATGTCTGTTTGTTCTAAAGAATTCTTTAACCTTTCTGCTTTCTAGTTTATTAAGCACTTTTTCTTCTATTTTTTTAAACTATTTTGCTTTTTTAGCTTTGTTTGATTGTTTTTGATAACTTTTAAATTGCTGTTATGTAATTAGACTTTTACTTTTTGTATAAAGTAGTTGGTTTAGATAGATTAGGCCTGTTTTATTTATTTTAACTCCACTTTTTTTTTATAATTATGTTTCTAGTAGTTTGACTATTTTGTAACTATAGCTGCTCATTATTTATAGCTTACTTTCTGTACCTATATTTATTCTTAATTCTTTTGCTTTAACTATTGTCAAATAGACTAAATTGTTTTTTTAACATGTTCTATCTTCTGGCAACTTCTCTAATTTCTATATGTTTTTAGTTAAATCTGCTCTTTGGCAATTTTGTGTTATTCTTAATTTTGTTAACTGTTTTAATTCATCTTTTTTGTTAAGTTTTGCTAATAGACCTTCTACTTGTTTTATTATTAATTCCTATTACAATGTTTTGCAGCTGCTTAGATCTTTGTATTCTATTATGCAATTCTCTAATATTTTTAACAAACTGCTTTTTTGTTTTACCAAACATATTATTAATTAGTGTACTTTGTTTATTTCTTTCTTTAACATTTTTGCTAACTGTAATATATAACTTAACTTTGATATTATCACCATATTGTTTATATATGCTATCTGACTCATTGTTATCTTCTTGTATTTAAGGTCTTTTATTATTTGGCTTATTATTTTTTTGCTTTTTTTTAACTAAAACTTCTTATATTCTGTTATTTAGTCAGATTTTTAAGAAATGAACTATCTTGTTTCTTGATTTCTCTATTATTTTATTTTCTCCAAATGTTATTTTTTTTTTTTAACTTTCTTATTCATTATTATCAACTTTGACTTAGTTTTATTTATTTCTATGTTGTTTATTTTAAAAAACTCTTTTGTTATTTTCAATATTTCTAATAGCTGTTCTTTGTTGTTCATAATCTATGTTGTATTATTCATATATGCAATTGCTGCTTGATAGTAGCTTGTGATATTATTGCAATATATTTTTTTTTTGATTTTTTGCTCTATTGTATAGTCTAATCTTTTGTCTTTCTGTATCTTTAATAATATAAATCTTTGATAATATTATTGTAAAAACTAAACTAAAGAAACAAATACCAATATGAAAAAATCTAACAAACAAAAACTTCTAAATAAGAAGTATTATTAACTAAACTGCCAAGTTGAATTAAAGAAAAAAAATATTAGACTAGACTTAATATACTAAAGATAGGTTACAATCTTTTTAAACTATTTGTATTAAAAATCTAAGAACAAAGCAAAATATATTAAAATACTAGAGATATATTATAAAATAAATACTAAAATACAAATGAATTTTACAAAAACAAGCTTTTGTTAATAATTTGTAGAATAAATAAATAGATAACAAAAAAGATCTTCTAAGTTTTACTAACAGATGTTATATTTTAAAATATATAATAATCTAAAAACTAGTTTAAAAAAAAAGATATTATACTATTTAATAAGTATAATAGTTAAGTATATATAAAATTTATAATGATAATTAAATGATTGATAAGGCAGATAATTAGAAAGTTTAAATGAATAATCTTTTAATAAATTATAGGTATTATATTTAATGTAAAACTCTAAAATAGATTATTTAAATAAGCAACCAAAAGTTACACATATAACTAACTGTACTTTTATTTTTATAAAAATAGTTGTAATACTAACTTCAATAATGTTAATAAAATAATTACTATAAAGTATGCTCTTTAAAAAAAAAAATAAATAAAGTACTATTATAACTGCCTAAGAAAAAAAATATTAAAAAAAAACTTTTTGTAAAATTTTAATATAAGCTATGTTTATTTTGTATTATTTTTAATTTTAAATTAATTTTAATTATAGACTTTTGTTTTTATATATGGAAAATTCTATTCTGACCTGGATCAAAATAACTTTTCTAAACTTTAAAGTTGGTGTAAACCAAAATTATGTTAATACCAACCAGGATTTTTTAATATAAAAACCCGGCCAACATTAACGATCCGCACTAACCCTAAATTTTAGAAAGGGTTATTTTGACCCAGGTCAAAATAGAATTTCCCTTTATACATATATAAAATAAATATTTTTTTATTTATATATTATACCAATTTTATAAATATATAAAAGTAGCATTACTTTACGTATATAATTTTTATTGCTATATACTACCCGTTGTTAAACAACGGGTAGTGTAATACAAAATCACGTGATTCGGACCGGATTGAACATTTAAATTTTTATATAATATAGAAGATACTATATAATGTATAAAATACAAATACTTTAATATTTAAAAAAAAAAATAAAATAAAATACAAATACTCTTAACACCAAAATACAAATACTTATATATTAATATTAACATTTTATGTATAACCTATTTTTGAAATATAAGCTATAATTTATCGAATCTTATTCTAATTTAATATAACTTATTGCTTTTAAATTTTGTATTATGTAGTCTACAAATTATACCTATGCTTTATGTACTATAAATTAAAAAAATTTGAACTGTGTATAAAAAAGTAAAATTTATATTCGTTATATATATGTTGCGTTTTGAAAATATATATTTAGAAAGAATTACGTAACTATGAATAAAAATACTATATTTAAAAGTAATTTTGTTGTATAGTAGCATTTTATTTCGTTTGACTATTTCTAAGGCCTAAAAGTCATTCGTGTTTAATATATGCTAGCACCATTATTAATTTGATAACGCAAGTTTATAGTACAATGGTTTTAATAATCATTTATTACGAACTTTACAACATTTTTGAAGGTGTACCACTGTTTCATTATAGAAACGTGGAAAGTTAACTTATTTGTTTATATTAAACTTCATTAGGAAAGCTTAACGTTAATGAATACCAGATTGAAGATCTTTATGATACTTGTAATTTCGTTAATAGCAAGTATAAAATCATGTAAGACAGTACTCAAAAGGTTAAAGCGAATAAATTAACCTATAGAAATGTTGTGTAAGAAATTAAGATTTGAGACATGAAGACGTAAATATGAATTTATAAAATATAATATCTTATGTGTGAGAAAAATTAAATCCCGAAAGTCATGACATTTTGCATTAAATAATATTAATAAGTATGACAAATACATATCACATATCGATATCGATATGAAGTATTATAGATAAAATATCAAATATTTAGTAAGTGTATATTACTTTGAAACCGTATGTATCAGTATTTGTTGTATTTGTTGATTGTAAAAATATAAATAGCAAGTGTGTGATATTTCTAAAAAAAGAGAATCGTGAGAAGTTGAATTATTATTATTCAATTACCTTTATTCTGTTTCCAAGTCATTAAAACAATATCAATTAATAAGTATATATTATATATACTATTAAAGTATAATAAATTTGAGGTTTCTATTTACGTGATTATTTCTTAATCGACGTCACGCGTTATACAGTACTTTAATACGAACGCTAAAAGTAAAATATACTCTTAGGATAATAGATAAAGCATAAGAGATCATAATTACTATCAGTGTATTTGTAAGATTTCTAACACAACACAATATACTTCAACAAACTTCTTTTGAATCAATATTAATTAATCGGCGATTACGTCATATTACTTGACTACCTCACGAAGTACCTACATATAAATATAAGACTACTTCATTTACCAGATCGAATCAAGGTTGGTTCTAAGAGGATAGTAAAACGTAAGAAAAGTAGTGATAAATACGCATTCCTTTTACACATCAAATTTAAACACATCTCATTTTCCTTTCTTTCTTTCCTTTCATATTTCATTAGTTTGGGACCGCAAGTTCATACTAGGCAGTAGTCACTTACTATCCTATTTACTTTTTCAACTCCTTTGGCGGTTTACTTGAAAAAAAATAAAAAGTTCAGTCTCTCCAAGAAAGTAAGTAAAGAAATATGACTATTTTGGAAATACGCGTTAAAGTCCTTACATATCTTTACAAAAAAGGATAGTCATGTATCAAGAGCAAAACAGTTCACAAGAAGAAACACCAACAACTATCCCTAAAAGGTCAACTATGGTAACAGCGGACAAGAACGATATCGCCAAAGCTTTTGATAAGGCGCTTGACGAAATATCAAAACATATTAATGAAGGTGGTAATGATTTTATTGATACTTGATGATACACAAACACAAAAACATAAATATCATTTCGTCCTTTGGTACTATCTGCAACGTTGCGTCAAATATCTGATATCTTTGGATATCTCGTGTTATGCACTCAACATTTGTTTTATGAACATCTTAGAATTTTTTTTGTATCTCTTGTGATTTATGATTATTTGTGTTAATAAACTTATTCGAGAACAAAAACAAAAAAAAATCAAAAAATCAAAAAAATCAAATGTGTTTTAGTATCAGTATCGACGCCTATTGGAAAACAACCCCAAAACAACAATTTGAAAATTAGTCCTGCTGATTCTGACAAATCAGCGTCATCGGGTCACTCTAGTCAATCGAGCGGTCAAACCAGTTCCACTTCAATCACTGAAGAATCTATTGAAATTAAAGCCTCGGGAAAATTCAGGAACGATGGCAGACCTTTACCTTTTAACATTCATTTTAAGGATTCATTGAGTCGAGTAAGTTAAATGAATAAATGTATACATAATCGTACTAATTACCCATTTTTACTCTAAAACTCATTATGTAATTGGATTTTAAGCTGGAAACTGTGGATGAGAATCCCGAAGAAGGTCGTACAGCTCCAAGTTCACCAATCGCTTCTCCATTCGATCAGATCATGCCCGTTTCATTGCCTCAAACCCATTCGGTCTCTTCCCGACAATCACTGATGTCTAATTTAATTAAGCCACCAACCGTTAAGGTGGTTTCCTCGCAGGGAAAGGCCGCGCATGACTACATTATTCCAAAAACTTCTTCGCGAACTAGCTGCATCGCGTGTATCCATGGGAATGTTTTATTGAAACCTTGTGGTCATAGGTAATTTCATTTCTCTTACAGGTATAATATAGAAATAATGAAAAATAATAAATAATGGATAACATTGTTCTCTTGAATTAAAGAATGTGTGAATCATGTGTTCATATTTTACGCTCAAATACGGTCAAAAGTTCATTCAAAACATATTCTGAATGTATATTATGCAAGACGGTAAGGTATATTATTTAAATTCGTTCATGTTTAGTTACCATGAGGTAAATACATTGTTGTATATCTGTTATTACTTTTTTCGATTTTTTTTTTTTAATAAAAGCCCGTTGCGGAATTTGTTACGTTTTCCGGTAAAAAAGAGTGCCAGGGTGGTAATATTTCCCCAGCGAAAACAAACATGAACATTCAATTTATGCAGAATATTGCTGAAGAAGATGCTCTCCGTCCACTATCTTGGGTTTTTCCCAGTATGGCACCATTGACTACGAGACCTGTTCAAGCAATGGCCTCCGTGACTAATAGACCCCAACAAATCCAATTTGGGGAACTAAGCAAATTAGCTACTGCCTTCAATTGGCCTGTTGTTAAGCTTACTAACGTAAATATTAATAATCATTTTAATTTTTTATATTAATATTTTTAATAATGCACCATACTGATATATTTCGTCATCTTTATTTCATTTCTATTTCATCTCTATTTCATCTCTATTTCTTTTACTTTGTACATAAAGATTCCGTGGGATGTTTCATTGAAGGAAATAAAAACATTTCTTTCGGCTTTCAAGTTACCTAGTGTATCATTGTATGCACAATGCATTCATATCATAATGGATAGGTAAATTTCAAAAAAAAAAAAAAATTTATTATCAATAAATATATGTATACATATTAACAATGTATTCTATGTTTTATTTTACATTAAATAGAACATCAGGGAAAACACTTTCTGAAGCGTATATCGAATTGGCAACACCCGCGGAGGCACACCGTGCGGTTGATACACGTAACATGAAACCATTAAAGGGACGTCTCGTTTCATGTATGAGATCATCTCAGGAAGATCTTATGAAAGCGGTCTTTCCAAAATGGAAAGGGGAATTTTCTGGTTGTGACGCTGTCGTAACTTCAGAAATGTTACAATCAACACCAACAGTACCTCATGTTCCATTTATCACGAGAGAAGAAATGAATTCACTTTTGGTAGTTTGCCGAAATTATAAGGTAGAAGATAACCTTATTTAAAAAATATCGACCCTTAATAAAATTATCTAATTACCATAATAATTTGAAAAGCTCCATTTTTCTCGTAAATGTGCGGAACGACCATTTGAAAACATTATAAGCGTTCTTGTAAAGGTAAAAATAAATAATAAATAAATAAATTATTAAAACTTTTTAATATAAATCTTGTAAACAAATAAAGGTTTAATTTATTATATCGATTATCCCTAGTTCCCGTTTCATCAAGGAAATCTTTATACAACCTTGCAACGCGATCTTTTATTCGAGATGTTGAAACGTAAGTTTTTAAACATATTAAATATGTTGAATATATTATTGATTTATGATTGACATGTTTTGCTAGTCGCAATCGAGTCGCTTAAAATTCATTTAAGCAAAGAATATCACCGTATTGATGAAACGTTATTGGAACGAATGGTAATATTCCTAATAAATATTTTTTTAATATTTTTAATAAATATTATATTATTAATGAGGACTTTCCTAATAAATAATATTTTTTTAACATTTACGTAATTAATGTTTCAATAAATTAAGATGCGCGCTGGTATTATGACTCCAGTATTTACTGAACGTCAAAAATTAATGATTCTTCAAGTGTCAGGCATGGCACTTCCTGCAGATTTGCAAGATAGTTTAACTCCTTTTAAGAAGGAAGAAACGGAACAAGTCTCTGAAACTTTTAATCAAGTATGATATACTTTGTTAAAATACTATTATGTATATTATCATGTAGATCATATATAGTATTAGTGTTAGTAATAATTTTAATATTAAAAATACGTACAATTTTTAATTTATTCGTAGGTCAATCCGACTTCTGAAACTAACACATCTACGGATAGTGTTAATCTTGTTTCTTCAAGTCTTTTCCACTCATCTCCGGTGGAATTTCCAGAATATAAAGGCATATTTGACCCTTTCCGAGATGATCATGAATTGAGGGCAAGTTTTCTTCAAAATGAATGTATGTATAATTGATTTTTCAACATTTGTAAAGTTTGATTATGTAATTATTCACGATATATTTTTTTATTAATATTTTTATTAATATTTTATTTCATTAATATTTTATTTCATTAATATGTTTTTCATTAATATTTTTTATTAATATTTTTCATAATTATTTTTCATAATTATCGATCTTTAGTGAAATTGGCTCAAGCTCAAGTTAGAATTGCTGCTGCTACTACTTCGCGCCTTCCTCCACCTCAACCTTCGCCAGCACGGCCGCAACTCGGTGCCTTTCGGGCATTCGATGTATGGAATCGGCTAAACGAGTATCGAAATATGGAGTTTGTAAGGTATATATATTTGATAATTTTTTTTACGTTTTCTTCTTTATTAGATAACATTGAACCGTTTATTTTATTTATCTTAGCAACATAAACACTAGTAATCAAATTCAACCGTTACCCACTCAACAACGAAATGTTCTTGATCGTTTGCATACTGATCATAGAAACAATCCGTTCTTTGTTAAAGACTTTAATTACGAAAATTTTTAAGCTTCATTCCACGAATTTCGTAATCTCGTTGCAATCCCATTTGTTATTTTTAATTTTATAGGCAATGATGCATGATTATTTTTTTACATTCTCTATCGATTGTAATACTTTTTAATTTATCGTTGTACTTTATCATGCTAGTGCCAATGTAAATATTGCAAACAACTGATAAATGCAAAGATTAAAAACCAGACTTTTACCATTGTATGATAATCGGTGTTATGATATACTAATAATCTTCATTTTCTCATTCATAAAGTGGTTTTCATAATGAAGTTTGGAACCGAGTTTATTTTGCATGTGTTAAAACTGATTAAACCCGGTTTTAATATATGAAAATAAACCCGGTTCCAAACTATATATTCTCGGTGTTTAAATATTCTCTTTTCCTTTTTACAAAAGTATGTATGAAACGTACCTCTTATCATTTTCGTTATCGTTATATTTATCTTTTCCATTTATGGGGAGAAGGGGCAAAACGCACTCTGAATCAGTATCGGTATTGGCCAACCGTTCTAGCATTACCAAAAAAAATTTCGCTACCAGCATTCGTGTCCGTGTTAGAGTTTGAGTGTATGCTTGATTTAGGTTACACCTGATCTTGAAATTTGATTTTAGATTTCTGATGATCATAACGATAATGAGTACGTACCTTTTAATTTATATAGCAATAGTACGTACTGGTATGTTGTCTATCATCTGAGGAATAATAATCTCGGGGATATTATTTATACCTGGTTACTATACTAGGAGGATACTGTGAGAGAAGTACGTATTGATATTGAATTGAATATTATATATTATATATAATACTAATATTTAAAATAGATGCCGATTTTATCAATCGGTTTTTTTCTGACTAAAAATACCCCAGATACTTTATTACATTATACACTATACTGTACATTATATCCGGTCCTTTTACGCCAAGACTATTAAAAATAAAAGGATGGATATAATGCTAAGGAAAGTATATTTATTCTGCAAAATATGGTAATAACGATAAGGCCAATATGACCTATGTATGACTAAAAAGTAATACATATTAAAAAATATTATGTTTTGGGTCATTAACTAACACCGGTGCGTAGCGGTAGGCGTAATTTCACATCTATAAAGTATGTACATACTGTACACATACGTACATCTAACATAGAGCCTTTTCAGCAGTTCACGTACGTATGTATAAATTTGGAAAAAATTATATTTTTTTGGTTAATACATACAATTCGCGAACCTCTGAAAAGGCCATAAACCGATAAATCTAACCTAAAGTGGATCTTAACTTTGGGATTGTGTCGCCCCGCTTTATTGAATTCCATTTATGGAATCATACCGAATGGGTCGACCAACTCGAGCACAAAAATTAAATACGTAGTAATGTTTCATTTTTAAAAGATAAAAACTTTACTTTTAATTATAAAGTTTCTATAAGTTTTTAAGAAATTTTTTAAAACAATAATGAAATCAAATTCCAAGAGGCTGATGATCTCTTAAAAAAAAATTCTATATTTAATCATATAATTGAACTTATTATATTATTATATATAATCATATATAATATAATAAAAAGTTATGTTTGACTAGATTTGCTTTTAAGTTGATCGGCCATCAGTGTAACTATATCAATATTTTAATGTTAATTTCTCTAATACAGTTACGAATTTGTTTAAATTCATGTATTTTTTTCATATTAATTTTTTTTTTTGAATTCTTCATAAATATTTTGTTTAGTATTAAAATATGATTAATATTAATATAAAATAATTTTGATCTGTCATAATCATTCAACTTGTACTGATGAGAACTCGTATACTTAAATGCATTAAAATTAAAATTCCAAACACTAATTTATTAAACTGTATATTGCTTATCATAAAATAGTCTTGTAAATACAAAAAATAATCTTGTAAAATGATTATCTATTAAAATAATTAAAATAATAACGATAATAATTCTATTACGTATTTAATACAGCATCTAATATATTTGATTCGTTAATTAATAATTAATTATACATGAGGTGAAATTTAACGTTAATGTTTTTTTCGACTTTAGAAGAATGCTGAGCATTTTTACTTGATACTTCAAACACCACTTATTAAGCCTGTTTTTAAGAAATAGCATACTCGGTGAATTTCACCTGAATTTCACCATTAAAATCGATCTATCATAACTATAACGATATTACTTAATTAAATATGAAAGCCTACCCCTGTAGGAATAAGAATATTCTAGAAGTGTGGGTATATTTTTAAGCCCTGTTGGTAAATTTCATAGAGTATTAAAACACATCAACAACCAAATTTATTAAAATAGTTCATAAAAAAAAAATAACTACGTACAAGCAATCCAAGCGTTCGTTGTAAGCTAACCAAATCAAAATTCACGATCCGTTGTTCGAGTCATTTTATGTATGTAAATGTAAGTACGTATGTATTTTTTAAATAAGAAAAACACGTATTTGAGTTGGTATTACAAAAAATCTGAAACAAGCAATTGTATGTGATAAATTATTGGTTATATTTGGTCACAAAAAAAATCTTTGACCTATAATTTCAATGCTCTTTAGGAATTATGTTACCTAATAGAATATTGATTTTTTTTTTTTAAATATAAATTATGTTAACTTTTTTAGTACTTCCAAGTTTTTTAAAACTCTACCCGCCATCGCAATCGAAAGTTAAAAGCCAATATTGCTTATTAATAAAGTGTATAAGAAAAAATGAGTAAACCAGGCGGGTATCCTCAAGAGGGCCAGGATCCATATTATGGGGAACGTCGCGCTCCATTACCCGTCAACCAGCGTTTTTCTGACAGAAGTTTTGAAAATTATGGTCAACCTCAACAAGCTCGGTCTTCTGTAACTTCTGAAACTTCTGTTGATGCTGCAATTTCACGTATGGCAAATATGAAGATTGGTGACGATCGTAGTGCACCAATTCCATTTCAAGGTTCATATACTCCACAAAGAGTAAGCTCTCCCCGTCCTCGTCCTAATCCACAAATGCAAGGTCCTCCTCGTCCTAATCAACATATGCAAGGTCCTCCTCCTCCTAATCAAATGCAAAGTCCTCCCCCTAATCAACAATTGCAAGGTCCTGGTCGACAAATGCAAGGTAGCCCTCCTCCTCCTAATCAACAAATGCAAGGTCCTGGTCGACAAATTCAAAGTAGCCCACCTCCTAATCAACAAATGCAAGGTTATCCTCCTTCCAATCAACAATTGCAAGGTTATCCTCTTCCCAATCAGCAAATTCAAAGTCCTCCTCTTCCTAATCAACAAATGCAAGGTCCTCCTCCTCCTCCCAATCAACAAATGCAAGGTCCTCCTCCTCCTCCTAATCAACAAATTCAAGGCCCTCCCCCATTATCACAATCGAGGGAATATCCTAATTATGGCCCTGAAGAGCAATATTATGGTCATTATCCTCCAGATTCTGATCCTTCCATAAAAGCACATCAAAAATATCCGAATTATTATAATTATAATAATCAATATCATCCTCAAGACTATCCTCCTCCTAAAGACAGTCAAGAATATTATCCTCGGGGTCAAAATTACGATACTGCTTCTATATATACTGAAGATTCATATAATTATTATCCAACTCAACCTTATGATCAAGATAATGTGAATCAAGGAATGTACGGTTATGATTATTATAGAGGGTACCCTCCTAACGAAGGATATCCTCCTAGTGAACGATATCCTCCTGGTGAAGGATTCCCTCCAAACGAACGATATCCTCCTGGTGAACGTTATCCTCCTAACAATGGATATCCCCCTAGTGAAGGGTATCCTCCTAGTGAAGGATATACTCCTAGTGAAGGATATCCTCCCAGTGAAGGATACCCTCCTAATTATGATTATTATGGTGACATGAATCCTCATCAATATTATCAGGATCAATATTATGGTCCACAAGATGAATATGGTTCTAGAGGTTATTATGGTCAACCAGTTCAACAACCTTACATGGAAAATACAAATAGGTATTCTGGTCAAAGAAACTCGGGTACACCTAATAATGTGGAAGATAAAGCTTTATATACACCTGAAGCAATAGAACAATATCGACAAAAAATGAAATCGGTTACCGATCCTGATGCTTTATATGTTTTTGCCAAATATTTAATTTCTGCTTCAATTCATGTTGATGATCCTGATCCTAAAAATGCAAAAAAGAAAAAAGAAACATTACTTCAGGAAGGAATCAAGTTAATGAAACGTTTGGCCACACAATCTATGGGTCGTCCTTCACATCCAGATGCTCAATTTTACCTTGCAGATTGTTATGGTAGTGGATCATTGGGTTTAACGAAAGATCTTGAGAAAGCTTTTAATCTATATGAACAAGCTTCAAAATCACGTCATCCTGCGGCTACTTATAGAACGGCTGTATGTTACGAAGTTGGTGGTGGAACAAAACGAGATCCACATAGAGCAGTCCAATTTTATCGTAAAGCAGCTGCATTAGGTGATACTGCCGCTATGTATAAACTTGGAATGATCATGTTAAAAGGACAATTGGGTCAACATGATAATCCACGAGAAGCTCTTAATTGGCTTAAGCGCGCTGCAGCTCAAGCGGACGAAGCAAATCCACATGCATTACACCAATTAGGATTATTACATGCTAAACCAGAAAATGAACCACCAATAATTCCTTCACTCATCAGAAATGAAGGACATGCATTCGAAGAGTTTAAACGTGCTGCGGATTTAAGTTATGCACCATCTTGTTTCAAATTAGGAGCTTGTTTTGAATATGGACAGCTGGGTTGTCCTATTGATCCTCGACAATCTATTCGATATTATTCACGTGCTGCTGAAAAAGGAGATCCTAACGCTGAATTAGCATTATCTGGTTGGTATTTGACAGGTTCAGAAAATATATTGAAACAATCTGACACAGAGGCATATTTATGGGCTCGGAAGGCTGCAGATAAAGGCCTTGCAAAAGCAGAGTATGCCATAGGGTATTATACGGAAACAGGCATTGGTATAACTCAAAATCTTGATGAAGCAAAACGTTGGTATATGCGTGCTGCAGGTATTATCATTTTAAATATTTTTAATAAATAGTGATATGTATAAATAATTTAACATAAAATTTATTCAATTCATTATTAGCACAAGGGAATAAAAGAGCAATGCAGCGTCTTACTGAACTAAAACATGGTAAAAATCGCTTAGGTAATACAAAACATACACGATCTCAGGCAAATAAAGAAGATTGTACCATATGCTAAAAGTGCTTGTATCATAAATCTCGTTATTAAATATTGGGTTTATTTATTTTTGTCCTTATTGAAATACAGTTTATTATTATTATTTGTTTTTTTAATTCTTTGTATATTAATATTTTCACTCTAAAAAAGTTCTTTAAAAAAACATTTTTTTTTTTGTTGTATAAAGTCTTTCTTGTGATTGAACAAATTCCTTAAATTATTTCGTATAGTTTTTTTTTATAATACTATTTAATTTCTAAAATTATAAGACTGTTAATATTTATCAGTCACCTTTTTAGTTAAAATCATGAATTTTATTATTTTATGAGCATAATAAAACTTTCAATATTTTCAGTTTTTTAAAAATCAGGTTGAAGCAAATTATATACATTTTATTTTTATACACATATTTCATTACATCTAATAGTTACAAAAAATATTCAAATGTTAAGTTATCTAAAATTATTTTTCATTTCTCTCAAAGTTCCCATAACTTCAATCGGATCATTCTTTCCAGTAGCTTTCTTGACACTATCTACATTAACCCTCATAAAAGGATTAAATTTCAATTCATCACCGATAGTACTTGGAATGGTTTGTTGATTTTCGGAAGCCCATTGAATTTTATCTTTAAGAACTTGATTATCAGGTTCAATAGATTCAGCAAATCTGAGATTGCTTTTAGTATATTCATGACCACAATAAACTTTGGTTTCTTCTGGAAGCTTTCCAAGAACGTTAATTAAGGAGTTGTACATTTGATCTGCGGTACCCTCAAAGAATTTTCCACAACCACCAATGAAAAGTGTATCACCTTTTTTATTTATTTGTTTATTAAGTTATTTATTTATTAATTTGTTAGTTTGCAAAAAAAAAAAAGGAAAAAAATAAATTTTTCTTTTAAACAAATACCAGTGAAAACGACTTTATCATCTTTGTCTTGCAAAAAAAAGCTGACACTTCCTCGAGTATGACAAGCAGTATAAAGAGCTTTTGCAGTAATGTTTCCGATACTAAATTCTTCACCATCTTCCATTAAATGATTTAATGCAGGAATATTCTTTTCACCACCATAAACAATTAAATCTTTACGTTGAGAAACGAGTTTCTCATTTCCACCAGAGTGATCCTAAAACCAAAATTTATTTTAAATTAATCCAAATGATTAATAAACGAATAAAAAAAAAAAGAATTTTGTAAATTTGTACCGTGTGATAATGAGTTGTGATCAAATGCTTAAGGTTTGCACCGTGCTGTTCAACCACAGGAAGTACTTTTTCAGGTTCTGCTGGGTCAACAACCGCAGCTATTGAATAATAAAGAAATGAATATATTTTTTTTTCCTTTAACTTTTATGCAAAACTAAACTTGCCTTCCTTTGTACTTTCGTCAATAATAACGTACGAATAATTGTCTTGTAAGACTAATAAGATATTAATATTAATATTACCGTTATTATAATTATGAAAAAAACAAAGACAATAGATATAAAGACAAAAGAAACCTGGGACCGGAATAACTTTCATTGCATTTGTTTTTGTCTATGTGGGAAAATTTTAACAGTTTTATGTAGGAAAATCTTTCGATTCGCCATCAATCGTCGGAACCGATAAAGGGTAGATCTGAACCTTACCTGGAAAATCATTCTATTTCCACGTTTTTGGGTCAGAACCGTTTTTAAGTAATTAGTTAAACTAGTTCGAAACATTATTAAGAGTGAGAAAAAAAATTTTTTTTAATAACAAATAAATTAGTCAAACATGTAAATTGATGTTATTTTAAAAAATATGATGTACGCATTGATATGTACGTAATACAATACGATCTGAACAATATAGCAATATCTGAACCAAAGTTACACTTCATTTTTCATTGCATGAGAACGCAACACAAAAAATCAATTCTGGATTTTCTGTGTCATATGGAACAAAACATTACATGAATTTTTACCGGTTTTAGCTCATTTAAATAATCAGTACAACGACCAAGTACTAGCCATACTTAAAAGGAGACATGTCTTCCGGTTGAATTTGTTCATTGGTAATTGTTTTTTTTTTTTTTTTGAAAAAAAAAAAAATCTTGTTTCCTGTTATTTCTCGTTTAAACCCCCAAATTTTATCCCTCAATGAATAACAGGGTTTAAAATATTACATACTGGTTTTTTTTTTATTCCGCTTTCCAATCCAGTAAACGAATAAACAAAACAATCCGAACTTTATTGCTGTATTGTTAAATATCTACGACGAATAAAGTTCATCATAACCTCGGTATACTCATCTATACATTGGTGTCAAAATATCAGGTATCTAATTTTTTTTTTGGTTGTCGATATTATAATCATTATAGACTGCCCGATGTCGAAATTATAATCATATAAGAATAAATGGGGGTGCCATTGGCGCCCCTAAATATATTTTTTTATACCGTGAAAAGTAACTGGACAGTGACCTTTTTTACAATCTTTGATAAAATATTAATATTAGGGTTATTGTATAAGCGCGAAATAACGCGCAGGGGCGTTATTTTGAATAATGGCCTAATTTAGCCAACTTTCTCCTGCGCGTTATTTCGCGCTTATACCCGTATTTTCGCGAAATAACGCATAGGGGTGAAATTATGAATTTCGACCTAAATTAAGTTTAATTCGGGCCATTATTCAAAATAACGCCCATGCCTGTTATTTCGCGAAAATACGGTAGGTTTTGTATTAGATTAAGTTAGAAGGTGCTTTATCATTACAAAAAGTTCGTGAGAAAAGCTTTTTGTTAGTATGCAAGATAGTTCTGTCGAAATTAATTTCGCTTTGCCAGTGAAATTAATTTGTTTGCTGAAATTATTTTCGCCTGCTTGTTAAAGACATGTGAATGAATTAGGGATGGGCAATATGTAAGTAATATGAATTTTTTAACCGTTATCTATTCTTAAATATCATTAACTATTTCCAATTATATACGACTTAACTCACATAGATAACGTGGAACTTTACCGATCAAGGTTCCTTTTGCATGTACCTTTTTAAGAACCACGGCGGATTCTTACAGTACTCAGTTGATATACTGATATACTGGGTGTGCAAACGCATCCTTTTTGATTCACGGGTTCATAAAAAGGCCCATTTGTTGATACTACCACCTTCTAACCCTAATAACAAAGTGGACCTTTTTTATGAATCAAAAAGGATGAACCCTGTGAATCAAAAAAGGATGAAATTGCAAATAAAGCAGTTAAAAAATATTTCCACCAATTTCGCCATACAAAAATATTTTCGCCACCCAAAAATATATTTGACATTCGAAAATAATTGCGGCGTGCTAAAATAATTTCGGCATACTAAAATAATTTCGACAGACTAAATTATTTACGTTTTAGACAGTCAAAAATAAGACAGTCAAAAAATAATTTCGGCTGCCTAGAATTACGCCTAGAGCAAAATAATTTAGACACCCATGAATATGCTCATCCAGCCTCAGCAGGCCCAGGCGAGAGACAAGCGGCAGCAGGTTGGTATTATGTAATGACTTGCAGAACAGGGGTTCTTTTTCTTCATTGGGTTAAGTTTAATAGTTGGCCAGGAGGTTAAAAAGCTACTCGGGTGACTTTTTATGAAAGTCTTGACGAAAAACGTGTTAAAACTTTATAAAAAAAAAACTGTCAAAAATAGGTTTTAATAGATACAGTATAACAATAGTGATAGCTTCAAATAAACATTTAAAACCTTTCTATATTTGGTATCGTTAGTTTTAACATTATTATTTCAAAAATTTTTATACTTATAGAACATTTTTGACGAGAAACGACATAAAAAAGTTGTATCACATAGGAGAAAACCAATGGAGAATGAAAAAGAAAGACAAAAAGCTGAATACGAAACTTCAAAGGTGAATACATAAATAAAATACTTTTATTTTATAAATATTAGCTTTAATATAATCTTTTCTTTCTCTTCAGCATGAACTAAAGAATCTTTTGGCTCAATTTGGTACAAAAGCAAAAGTTGCAGATGAACTAGAAAAAGATGTATCTAAACTTCATGGTAATATAGAAAGTTTATTAGAAAAAGTTCAAGGCAAAACTAATAAGGTAGGTTCTTTATTTAAATGGATTCCAGATTTACTTTATATTTACGATTTATATGCTTATATAGTTCACCCAGTCACCATCCACAGTAATAGAGCAGCGACACTCAAATAGACTTGTAAAAATATGGAAGGAATTTATATCTTACGTTTTCTTTCCATTTAAACTAATATTAAATGTAATAAGACGACTATATTGCGGGATAAACTGTACAGTAATTCTAATGATGATACTATTAATAGAATGTTTTGTTATTTTCCTAATTTGGACGTAAGTATCTTTTATTTTCCTTTCTTATAATATCGACATATATTTATTCTTTATTTGGTTCAATTTATTTAACAGAATTAAGAGATCTCATAATATATACATGTATGTTGAACCATACGAACCAATTGTGCATGGAACTTATGATACTGACCAGACCGAAACTTGGAAATTATTAAGGACAATAACAAATCTAATTTACGATTTTTTTTCTGAAATCATGAACGGAGGTCGTGGGTTTGGCAGTTCAAATTACGATGGATCCGTTCCAATATGATGTTTATATTTGTAGAAAATGCATTAGAGTGTAGATCTCGTTTGTTAATAAATTTTGATTTGTATATACGGTTCGATAATATATATTAATTCAGAAAATACTAATATGTTACAAGAACTAACATATTTAATTAGGATAGTATGTTAATTCTTAATTTAGAAAGACAAAAGACTTTAATTTGTATTATATACGTTATGACGGGAGGATTACACACCTTTTTCACTTGTACATATTGTTAAAGTTTTTTTATCTCCTTTTTTGCCAAACAGTTTTGAATCTTTTTTTAAAAAAAAATTGTTTTTAATTCACACACATTTGCACACATACACAGTAAATAATTAAAAAATCCATCAAGCATTAAATTGCACAATTTCTGACTAAGGAGTTGTCAATTATAGGTCTAATTAATGGTAGACAATGTTAATGGCTGCAGGACTCGTAATTATAGTAAGTTATAAATGAAATCTGTTTTCTCACTTTTTTACATATGAATTCTTATAAATTCTTCTAAAATTTTTCAAAAGGTTCATTAAAAAAAACTCCCTTTAAAAAATTCTATTCAATCTAATATAGTTTTAGATTGGATTATCCGGGGGAGTAGATCAAAAAATATGAACGGATATTGATACGCTCTCATGATCATAGATTGTCATCTGATGAGCTACTTTTATTCCGTACAATCTTTTTTCTAAATATACTTTAATACATCAATTGCTAAAAATCAAATTTCTGCCATTTTAAGCTCATTTTGACAGGAACGTATGTTAAAAAATTAAATTTGTATTTAGTGAATGAGAACGCCTATAGATCTTCCACAAAACATTAAGCAAAAAATCCCCCTAACTAGGGTTGGGGGCACAGTGTCCCAGGCATGCCCTTGAGCCAAAAGGCATGCCCGTATTATGTAATTATAAATCTTAATTATATATAATTGGAGTAGACTGATTGGCTACAAGATCTAGCAGCTATCTTAAGAATGTCTCTAAACATTTTGTATAACAGTCTATCAAATTTCAAGGTTAGAATTAAATCTTATATATATTACAAAATAATCCTTGTAGTAATTAGATCTAGCAGCATAGTACTTGATATATTCCAAAATTTTTTCCCATGCCCCCTAACGTGACTTAATCTTAATTATTTACACCTGATCTTTCGATTTATTTGGATAAAAATCACAAGGAGGTGATTTTTTTGTGGGAGCAACACCCGATGCATTTTTCGAAAATAACTGTCATGCATAAAACATGATTTTTATAACCTGTACCAGGGATAGTGATTTTCTGCGTAATTTTGCAGAAAATCACGGAATTTGTTCAGATAATTTTTTAAAAGTTTGGCCTGGGTTTAGGGTCTACAGTCATCATGCAACTGGGGTAAAATCACCACCCTAAAAAGTTTCAAGACCAATCAAATCTTAAGATCAGGTGTAACGTAACACGAATAAAAAAATTCAAAACAAACGTTCGTTTTGTCAATAAACGCTTATAACCCAAAATTTCGTCTATGAAACTGTCTTCTACGCATTAATTAAAAGCTTTCCTTGTGAAATTTTGATATAGTAAATGATTTTGGACACCAATCTAATGGCAATATCCAAAACCTAACTTAAAAAAACGAAATTTTACTTGAAACTTTTTAGGATGGTGATTTTACCTTTGTCTCATAATGCCGGCTGATATTAATTCGGCCAGAATTTGCGGATAATAATGCTGGCTGACTTTACGTAATTCCGGTCAATCGCAGAATTTTGCAGTATCATCTTTTATTATGGCTAGGGTTATGTTACGAAAATTACAATTTTACATTTCATGTAATTTTACGTAAGTTTCAGTAACATGAATTTCATGTAAATTTCATATGTGATATTATATGTCAGCATTATAAAAACGTTAAACAAAATTATTAAATACACAAATATGTTTTATTATAAATTTTATTGTATTTATAACAATGCAAGTTTATACAATCAAATGAATTTTATTTTTTATAATGATTATCAAATTTATACTCATTATTATTAAACATATAAAACAGTTTATTTGAAAAATCAAAATTGTCTTCAAGTATTTCATTTTCACTATTGTCTTGATTTTTGCTTTTTTCTTAATTAATATTTGTATTAGATGTTATTTCAATTTTTATATTATTTTGTTGCAAATCCTTTATTAAAATAGATCTTTTTAATTAATGAAAGATTCTTGTGTTTTAATATATATAAATAAGTTTTTTAACCTTTTGAATAAGTATTCAGTTACACAATTTTGAATGTATAAACTCATAAAATGATTAATTTCTCTTATTGGCTACTGAAGTAATTGGAATTAACAAGATTTTTCATATAACTTAATTTAAAATAGAATATTGCATACTTAATAAATTTCATTAATTAAATAGTTTTAAGGTAAAATCATTTTACAAATATTTTTTTACAAAATTTCTTAATTTTTTAATATATTTAGACAATTTATTCAATACTTGATTTTTGTTATTAGCATTTGTAATTAGTAATCTAATAGTTAAAAAACTAATTAGTTAACAACTAGTTAATTAATTGATTAAAAAATTTTTTAAAAGTTTATTACAAAAAATAAAAAAAAATAAAAAAAATATAAATTTAAGTGCATAAGAGTAAAAATCTAGAACCTAATTTAATAATTTACTATAATCAGTTTTCAGGCTTTTACTCATTTGAAAAATTTTAACCAATTTAGATCATTATTTGCAACTCAAAGTATTTTAGTATTAACTATATTTCCTTATATAATAGAATTAAGATTCTTATCTCAATATCTTAGATCAAGAATATATATAACAATAACTGCTAGATTATATAAAAAATTAACTCATCTATGTTGAGCTGTTTGTAAAATATTATCATATAATTCTTCAGAAATTTCCAAATTATTTGTAATTTATATTTTTTAAGTTTTGTAAAGTTTTATAAACTAAAAAAAATATAGTTTATTACTTTCTAATTTATATATAAAAATAATAAATATTTCTAAAAAATCATGTAATTTTTTAAAATCTATCCAAAATTTATAATCCAAAATTGTTATTTTAATATTGTTTTTATTTCAATACTATTTTCAGCTAATATAGCATATATTGCAAACTGAGTTTACAAAACATAATTAAAATATTCAAAAAATGATATCTATCTTGTATTGATAATTAAAGTAAATATGATTTTAAGATTATATATTTTTTTTTGCAAACAATAAAAAATATCTAATAAAATTAAATGATTACAAAAAAATAAAACTAGATCTTTAATTTTTTTAAAAAATTTGCATAACTATTCATTTTTAAGATTATCTTTAATCCAAAAATTAATTTTGTATGTCTAGTATTCAAAAAAAGCTTTATTAGAATATTTGATTCTTAAAATATTCTATGTAGTTTTCATATTGTTGGCATTGTCTATAATAATACTAACAAATTTATTAATTCTAATTTTTTTTATTATATCTTTAATTCTTTTAGTGATATTTTTAGCTGTATAACATTCTTTATTAGTATAAACTAATTTGCAATGATATAATGATTCATTAAGAGCATTTTGAATAACTACTTATAGATCAGCATATTCCTTATTAAGAAGTAAACTAAAAAAAGTATTACATAATAGAATCTTAAAAGAAGAATAAGTCTTTTTAAAAAAATATAAAAATCTTTATTTTCAATTATGTTAAATAAAATTTTAGATATAAAAAAAGTACAGACAAGTAATGATTTCAATTCAGTTTGATCTGGTTAAGCAAAATTATCCAAAACTAATTGTTTTTGCTTTTTATTAGTACTAAGTAATTTAAATAGTTCAGATAATTCATTTGATATTAAATTTCTTAAAACACTAACTTTTAAATATTTTTGTAATTGAGTTGCATTTTTTGATTATTTTTTATTACAAGTTTTATATTAATAATGTTTTTTTCTTTTTTCATTAATTTACTTAAAATATTGGTTTTACATTTTAATTTTTTTATTATAAATGATTATTAATTTATTATAAAATAATATATTATATGCTTATTTATAAATAGCTTTTAATAAATTAAATAAACAATTATTACATAGTTCTGTATTTAGTATTTGATATAATAAATATTTTTAGAATACTATTTATACTCTATATGATATTTAATATATGCAATTTTTAATTTTGATATAAAAATTATCTTATAAAATACTGAATGCAGAGACTAAAATTATGTTAAAAAATTATATAATTTTAAAATTACAAATTACATAAAAATTAGCTTACCAAAAACTTATACAAAATTATATAAAATTACAGTAATTTGATATTTCTAATTATGGCCTAACCTGTATGTACCCACTCTTTATTAGATAGTAATTTCCTTATTGCTAATTGGACAAAATTAATTATATTACTAAGTTTAGTTGTAGCATATGCCACAGTTTATATAACATTTGATTAGCCAATCAAAAATTAAAACATTTCTGCATATCTATATTTGCAAATTACAGAAATACAGATTGTTTAGCAACTATAAACTTAAAATTAGAATATTACAATTTGTTTACTGATTATTTTTTAGAAGTTAATATTATTTTTAAATATAATCATGTTATAAACTTGATTGAATTATTTAGTTTTTAATATGTTTAAGAAAAAACATATGCTAAATATATGCAAATATTTCATAATAGTTATTTATTAGCAATTGTATTATATATCTACTAAGATGAAATTATTTTTATTTTATTAAATAAAAAATTTCTAAAATTCTTACTGATTACTTTTTTAATCTAGATTATAATTATATTAAAAACTTTTTTATACATTATTATAATTCTCAATTTGATAAAAAAAATAAAATGTTAATACTTAAATATCTAAATAAAAAAGTAATAAGATATAATGCTTCTGATTATAATTAAGTAGTTTTTAAGAGTACAATTCTCAAAGCAGAAAGGTATTTATTCTTTGTATTATCACAAAATTAATAAGTTAGACATATGAAAAAATT